CACTGCTGCCCTTACACTTTTAGCCAACAGACATTTACCGGGTATTTGCTATGTGCTCCGCTCTGGAGACTAAAGATTCAGGTTGTCAGTTCTCAAAGCTGGTCTTCAACCTCGGTGTTACATGAACAAAATAAGACGGGTGGCGCTATCACCCAGAAAATTTGTCCGGGCGTGGGAGTGCACACCCTTAATCCCAGCATTGAGACAGACAGACGGATCTCTCGAGAGTCAGAAGGCCAGCCTTATCTACACGGCGAGTTCCAGGCCAGCCAAAGCTGTGTAGGTGAGTGAGACCCTGTCTCGGAAGAAAGAAGGGGAAAAGTAAGGAAGAGAGAGAGAACAGGATTCCTGCAAGAGACATGGGGACTGGAAATCTCAGGACCTCATCCATCCCTAACTCCACTTATTTTTACTTCTCACAGGCTGGGAGATCTTCCCTATGAATCGAACCCAGCCCTAAGCAAACGCCTGCCGCCACGGAAACTACAACACCCATAAGCCTTCGAGGGCGCTGGTGTATTGTGGGATGCTGCGCACTTTCCTCCTAAAAACGGCCCCTCAGGCTGAACTGTAGAAATTGTGTCCTTCCCCGCGAGACAAAATCCTCCTCTTCCGCCTTATACCCGGATATCAGTGGCCATGGCCATAAAGACTGGCGGCTAGAGGCTCCCAAACTCGCTCTCCCGACCCTCATTTCCGCCGGAAGTGATCTGTAGTCGCCAGTGCCCGTCCTTCCCTGCACGCGCGAGCTCCCGGTGCCTAATTTTCGGTCCCGGTCGCCGTGTATTCCCACAATGGCGGCCGCCACCCTATTACGAGCGACGCCCCGCTTCAGCGGTGAGGGGGCGGGTTGGGTGCAGGCAGCCTGGAGACATGAGGGGCATCGAGGTAGCTGGGTTCGGATCCACTCCCTTGACTACCCCAAGCTCTTTTCCCCGCAGGTCTCTGTGCCAGCCCGACCCCATTGCTGCAAGGTCGGCTGCGGCCGCTGAAAGCCCGGGCATCGCCCTTCTTGTGTCGTGGTCTTGCCGTGGAGGCCAAGAAGACCTACGTGCGCGACAAGCCCCATGTGAATGTGGGTACCATTGGCCATGTGGACCACGGCAAGACCACCCTGACCGCAGCCATCACAAAAAGTGAGTTTGGGTTGGGTTATGGTTGGGGGCGTCCGGCAATGCCCTGTCAGCTGGAAGGACCAGAGCCGGGGTGTAGTGTCTGTAGTCTGTTGTTTAGCCTGGCGCCAAAACCCTTCAGATTGGAAGATGCAGGAGACTGGTTGCCCTGTGCAAGAAGAGCTCTGTGAGGCACAATCTGAAACAGTCTCAGTGGCATTCTGTGTGGAGTGGTTTGAAAGGAGACTCTGTCAGTGGAGAAGTTAAGCGTCTGTGACAAGGACAAACCCCTTGGATAGTTCTTTTTGTCGTACCCTCCCTCCCTCCCTCCTTCCCTCCCTCCCCCTGCCAAGTTATCTTCTAGAAGAATTGGAGATTAGAGAGCATCATCCATCCAGATTGTTCATGTATGAGGGATTCAGGAGTGTGCCCGGAACCTCGTCTGCGGCGCTGAACCCGAGTTGAGAGGTGTGTTCTCTTCCTCCGGCAGTTCTAGCCGAGGGAGGTGGAGCCAAGTTCAAGAAGTACGAGGAGATAGACAATGCCCCTGAGGAGCGAGCTCGGGGTATCACCATCAATGCAGCTCACGTGGAGTATAGCACTGCTGCCCGCCACTATGCCCACACCGACTGCCCCGGTCATGCAGACTATGTTAAGGTGAGGGTTGCTGGGAACACTCAGAACCTGCTTCACAGGTCAGTGGAGGTTTGAGGGGAGGAGGTTATTAAGATAGTGGTGGTGTTTGGATACAAGAACAGGGATTTGTGGCTGTGGGTGGTGAGGACATGGCAGAGAAGTGGGGATCTTCACAGCTACCTAGTTAGATGATGCATAGTTGAAGAGGTCCTTGAACTAAGCTTTCTTCCTCTTCCACCCAGAACATGATCACAGGCACTGCCCCTCTGGATGGCTGCATCCTGGTGGTAGCAGCTAATGACGGCCCCATGCCCCAGACCCGAGAGCACTTACTACTAGCTAAACAGGTACGGGGGTCTGGAAGGAGCGGAATGGAAGTTAAGCGAGAAATTGGGTAACCGAGGATACCATCTCCGCCTCGTTTCTCACTTGCAGATTGGAGTGGAGCATGTTGTGGTATATGTGAATAAGGCAGATGCGGTCCAGGACTCGGAGATGGTGGAGCTAGTCGAGTTGGAGATCCGGGAGCTTCTCACCGAGTTTGGCTATAAAGGAGAGGAGGCCCCAGTCATCATAGGTTCTGCGCTCTGTGCCCTGGAGGTAAAAGCAGGGGCTGCTGCTGTTAAGAAGATGGGGTAGAGCTTCCTTCCCTCTGTGCCCGGAGACTAGCATTCTGGGGAAGGAGCAGAAATTTCAGGGTCGTCTCTCTCCAACAGCAACGTGATCCTGAGCTGGGAGTGAAATCAGTGCAGAAGCTGCTGGATGCAGTGGACACTTACATCCCAGTGCCCACTCGGGACCTGGAGAAGCCCTTTCTGCTTCCTGTAGAGTCAGTTTATTCTATTCCTGGTGAGGCCTATGCTCACTTAGACCCCTCCCTATTGGGACCATGTAACCCGAGATCTCTGGTGACCTGCCCTGTTCCTTCCTTTGCAGGCCGGGGTACGGTGGTAACAGGTACACTAGAACGTGGCATTTTAAAGAAGGGAGATGAGTGTGAGCTGCTGGGACATAACAAGAACATTCGCACTGTGGTGACAGGTACAAGAAGGAAAACTTCAGACGCTGGGGCAGTCTCTGAATGACCCTTTCCCATGTAGGTCTTGTACCTGCCTTCTGCCTCAGACCACCTTCCCGCCTGTCTTTCTAGGCATTGAGATGTTCCACAAGAGCCTGGAGAGGGCTGAGGCAGGGGATAACCTGGGTGCTCTGGTCCGAGGCCTAAAGCGGGAGGATTTGAGACGTGGCTTGGTCATGGTCAAGCCAGGCTCCATCCAACCCCACCAGAAGGTGGAGGCCCAGGTGAGGGCTCCAGGTGATAGTTTGGTTGGGCCAAGTCCCTTGACTAGAAAGAAGCAGGCCTTCCATCCAGGTCATTCTACCCTTGCTCCTTTCCTCTAGGTTTACGTCCTCAGCAAGGAGGAGGGTGGCCGCCACAAACCCTTCGTATCTCATTTCATGCCAGTCATGTTCTCCCTGACTTGGGACATGGCCTGTCGTGTCATCTTGCCTCCAGGGAAGGTATGAATGGGGCTAGTGGATATAAAACGTAGCAGTGGTGGTGCACGTTTTTAATCCTAGCACTTGAAGATAAACAAAGATTAAACAAATAGCTGGGTGGTGGTTGTGTACGCCTTGTCTCAAAAACAACTCAAAAGCAGAGTTCTAAAGATACAGCATGACACACAGGTTAGCCCTTTCTTCGAAAATTAAGTTGGAAATTTAGGAACACCAGAGAAACATGCCATAGAAAAGGTTGTGTTTGGTTTTGGTTCTTCCTGTTGTATTTTGTGAAACATGGAGAGTTCAGAAAACTGCTGTTGACTAAAATTGCATAATACGAAATTCCTGATCATGGTCCTTTACATGTGCCCAGATACTCTTTCACCTGTTATATTTTCCCATGACTTGACCCTTGGCTGTCAGCAAGGTACTCTGCTGACTGCCTTTTCCTTCTCCTCTATTAGGAACTTGCCATGCCTGGAGAGGACTTGAAGCTCAGTCTAATCTTGCGGCAGCCCATGATCTTAGAGAAAGGCCAGCGGTTCACTTTGAGGGATGGCAACAAGACCATTGGCACTGGTATTGTCACCGACATAACAGCCATGACCGAAGAGGACAAGAACATCAAGTGGAGCTGAGTCTGCACTTGTACTCAGGCTGTTAAATTAGAGCTGCCTTGGCCAGCGTTCCCTCCTGTGGACACACACTGCATCCAAGCAGCGTACAGCTATGAACATTTCTCCTGTTCACAAGGAGTGGCCTGCCAGGAGAGGTAGGCAAATAAACTGTTCTGTGAATATCAACCTGTGTCTTCTGTGTGAGTAGATGTGGAGGAACACTAGATCTGGAGTACCCCAAAGCTGATTGGGTGTTTCTAGCATTAAGTCCATTCTGGCATACAAGCCAGACAAGCTCAGACTCTAATCATCAGTGCTTGAGAAAAAGCTAATTCAGTGAGCTCTGTGTGACTTTCAGCAAAATACAACTGTTATTTCCCCTAGATTGGGAAAGTGATTATCACTTAGTGGTATTGGCTCAATTTCTGGCACCCTATGTATTATGCAAAATGTTAAGGCTTTGGAATAACTATTAGGTTCTAACCTCAATACTAGAAAAAAAAGAAAAGAGGGAAACTGGCAAAAAAACAATGGTAGTACATAACTGAGGCCAACACAGCCTACCAGAGGCCCCGCCTCAGAAGCCCTGAAACACTTAAGATAAATTAGGGTATGTGCTCAGCTGCTGTCAGTACAATCCATGGCAGTTCCCGAGGACAGACTTCTCTAGTGTTAAAGGGCAGTCAGTAGCTAGAAACACCCTCCAGTTCTGTGCATTCCTCTACCATCTGTCCTGAGAGTACTCTTGCTGGAATATCAACCTTCCCTATTTACCACATCCCTTTCACTCACAAACCCAGTATGTAGCCATACCCAGATTCTGGGGGCTTTTCTTGCTTTCCCCACAGCAAACATCTACCACTAAATAGTATCCCCATCTTTAGTTCTGGGAGAATAGTCTACTCTGCTAAAGAAGCCAAGCTTCTTTGGGTTACAGAATTCTAAATTTGGGATTAGAGTTTTGTCTTAAGTACAGAGCAGAGTTCTAGGACAGAGACCTTGGCTCAACAAAGAACACCTTTGGTGGGGCTGGAGGTAGCTTAGTGGTTAAGAGCACTTGTTGCTTTTACAGAGGACCTGGGTTCTAGGCGAAGCTGATTTATTAAAACCTGATTTGTTTACTACAGGCAGGTTAAGTTAGTTTAAAATTTTATTTTTTTTATTGTTTTTTTTTAATTTTTTTATGTAATAAAAAGTAAAAGTCCTTGAGGCATCTGTCTGTCGGTCTCTCACACAGGACACTCAAGTCAATGGGGTAGAACAGGGGGCCCAAGTCTGAGGTTATAAATAATAGAAAATAAAAGATCTTCCGTCTCCAGCGGGGGAACAAATGAGAGGATGGGAGGATAAGACTGGGTGGGACCCGGCAGGGGCAGAGCAGGAACCTCCCCCACCCCCGCTGGACCCCCAGCCCTGCCCACTTCAAGGACCCCTCCCATTCAAGGTGCTTGGCAGGAATTCCCCAGCTCCCCAAGGGAAAGGGATTGGGGGCGGGGCTAGGACTGGTCCGAGCTGCTGGGGGAAGAGACATAGATCACTCTTCCCTCCACTCATGGAGGTCTCAGGTCGCGGCCAGGACAATCTTCAGTTCCCCGGGGGGTGGAAGGGGAGCTGCTGGGAGGGATGAGATTGAACTGGTTGGAGGGGAAAGAGAGAGAGCAGGAGCATTAGAACCCGAGCAGCTGTCCCTCTGTCAATGCGTCCAGGGGGTGTGGGGGGTGTGGGGAGGAGCGGCCTCCTCCAGGAGTCTCTGGGGGCTGTCAGAAGCACAGGTCAAACGCTGTTTCCCAGTAGGCCAGAAAGCCCTTACTCAGTTGCCCAGCTCAGCCCCCCACGCCCCAGTCTGGCCCTGTCTGCTGCGCTGACCTTACCTCGGCTAAGTCAGGAGACAGTCGGGGTCACTGAGAGCTGGGGAGGCAGTGGGGAGGGGGGCTGCTGGATCACAACTGAGCGAGGACGGAGGGAAGCAAAGGACAGAGCCAGGAGCAAGCCCCTGGCGGCGGCGACTGTGGCTTCTGCCCACCCTACATACTTCACAGACAGGTGTGGGTCGGCGGGCGCCCTCTGGGACAGCCCTGCCTCCAAGACCCCTCAATCCCCACCCAGAACCCGTGCATCCTGCCCCACCTGCAGCCCCTCAGCTCGTCCATGCCAAATTCCCCCAGCTAACGAGAACTCACGAATCCTGTCATCGGCTCCTCCTGGAAATCCAGGCGCCTGGCCAGGCTGCTCACCTTGGGGGTGTCCGATGTAGGGGTAGGGTGAGGGTGTGGAAGCTGAGAGTGCAGGCACCCCACTCGGGGGCACCGCGCCTTGGGGGGGGCCCCCATGGCCCTGGGGGGGGTGCAGCAGCATCACCTGGGGCGGGTGGGGTGCCCCAGGGTGTGGGGGCGGGGCTGCTGTGACTCCAGTTTGGACATGGGCCTGTAGAGAGAATTTAGTGCCCAGTATGACAAGACACTTGGAGATCCCTTATCCAAAGAGGGCTGCAAAGTGGTACAAGCACTGAAATGGGACAGCGTATCCCCTGGTCCTACCTGGGTAACATGGGCCATGTTGGTGAAGCCGTGGGGCAGCTGCTGGTGGGGATGGATGGCATACACAGCAGCTGGCTGGGGAAAGCTGCTCTGAGGGGACTGGGCAGAAGGTCCCGGTGGTAGAGAAGGAGGTGTGCCTGTTAGGGCCCCTGGATGGTACAGATTCTGCTGTGGCTGTCCACTGCCCAGGTGTGGGGCCTGCCCCGCCTGGTGCTGCCAGAATAGAAGTGAAGTATGAGTGTCACCCATTCTATTCTGCTAAGCAGGAAAACCACCTGCTCATTTGTTTCTCTGCTGAAGAATGACCCAGCTCTATCAAGTTAGCCCTCTTCCAGTCACCCATTCAGAACTCCCAACCCCTCCTGGCACCTGAACAGGACTGGGGGCCGCATGCTGGGATTGTGGCTGGCTCCCAGTAGGTGTGGTAGCCGGCTGTGGCTGATGGCCATGGAGCTGTGTGGCATGGTGTGGATAGGATTGGTGAACAGTGGCTGCAAAAGGAAGGAAGACGACCCAGTGCTGAGCACAAATGGATAGAGACCCACAGCCCAGTCAAAGAGTGAGCACCAGAACTCACCATAGAGGGCTTGGGGGGTAGGCTGCTCTGCAGAGGGGTACTGAGGAGTGGAGGATGATACAATGGCCTGGGGGTGGCTTCCAGATGTCAACATTCGTGGGTTACTTTGAAGCATAGGGGCAAAGACCGGCTGGAGGAAAAAACAAAGCAAAGTGGTAAGCAGAGCAGCCTGGAGAGGAATCTCCTGTCAGTGTCCACGTGCAAATAACTGTCTGAACCCTCAATAGTCATCTTAAAGATCCCAACAACCTTAATTCAGAGAGAAAAAAATAAAAGCAAGGGTTCAATGCTTTGTTATCGTCTGGACATTGCCACCCCTACAGCTGGTCATAACACTGCTCCCCTCACTCCAATTGGATTTCAGAGGTGGACTCTGTACCTGTGAAGGGTAGTGTGCCATGGGCTGCATCATGGCAGGCTGGCCTGGGAACTGCTGTGGGTTGTAGGGGATGTAGGAGGAATAAGGTGTGGCAGCCACTAGGGGTGGGCCAGCAGCAGCAGCAGCAGCCTGCATCATCGGAGGGGCTGAGGCTGGCTGGTGTTGGTCTGAGCGCTGGGGGGGAAGTGAGCCTATGGGTGGAGGGTAAAAATGTAAAACTCAAGCTCCAATGTCTAGACACCAGACAACCCCAACCATCCTTCCCAACAAGCCTGCTCACCTTTTGCACCCCGGTACTTGCCCTGCTGCCCAGGCACCGAATTGGAAACAGGATATGGATACATCTGAGGTGCCTAAGGATAGGTAAGAACTGGGGCTCAACAGGTTGTTCATCAACGTTGAGCTGGACTTTCAGCATTTTCCTTGGCTCACTTAGTCTCTCTCCTACCTGCACAGCTGGTCCCATGTGGATCTGAGGTATATATGAGATGTACTGGGGACTGTAGAGCCCACTCTGGCCTGCTGTCAGCACCGGTATGGAAGGTGTTGAGTGAGTACGGGGCCCTGGTGAAGTTGGAGTACTGGTAGATTTGTTCTGTAAGAAAGGACATTTTATTTGTGTAAATTTCATTCCAGCCTTTTAAAATTAAGTTAGAACCCATGGCATTTGATGTACCAAGTCTCATACTTTTCTTTATAGCAAACCACAAAATGGGCATTCTTAAATTCAGAGAGCAAATAGGCAGAGAGCCCTAAATGGCTGCCTGAAATCCAGACGCCTTATGAGTTATCAGTTAAAGCCACGTCAGTTGATTTGATGAAGCTCATAGTCCTGTGACACCAATACTTGTCATGGCAAACAGTGAGAACCAAAGCAACCTGTCAGAATCAATCAGGAGGCCTCATCACTCAACCCTGGAGATGTGACTGTTTTTCCAAAATCAGTCTAACCTCTACTATCTAGACTGCAGCAGTACCTCCTCACAGTAGAGGACAGTCTACTATCCTGACAGTGAAGTGCTCTCCTACAATGGTTTACTGTGCCCCACTCAAGGATACCCAAGTCTATATGCAACAGTCCCAGCTCACCACAGACAGCAGAGGCTTTGTTGGATTGAACTCCTTGGCATTGGGGTTCAAAGTAGACTTCTTTACTTGTCTGTAAGAGAACGTAAAGCTAGCTCTTGAGTCATGCCCTTCACCAGCGCATAAGCAAAGATGTTCCCCCATCTACCACCACCACTTACTCAGTAACAGGGCCCTCCTCTTTGTCATCTCCCTTGATGAGGCCTACTGGGGGACTGCCAGTTTGGCTGGGGCAAGATGGTGGGAGCTGCTCTGGCCCCTCAGTACCCCCTACTGCTGCCAGGGGTGGTTTGTCTTCCTTATCCAATATGGATTCTGTCTTGGAGGAGACTGGGGATCCCATGGGATCTGAAGTCAATAGGCCATCCACCTCCTTCTCCTTTCCTTTGGCCTCTTCTTTTAAGATCCGGGAAGGAAATGGATCCAGGCCGGTCTCAGGGGAGCTACTAGGTTGCAGCTGGGAGGAGAAATAATCAGTAAATCATACTGTCCACTTCAGACCCCATGCTTTACCCCTACATTCACTCTTGCTGGATCTCATCTTTTCCCATCCACTCGGCCTTTGCACAGCCCCACCTTGCTTCTATCCTAGCTCCTTTGCAAGCCTCACTCACCTTAAACTGGGCCCCAAACTTCCTCAGTTCTTCCAACTGAAATCGTTTCTGTTCATTCTGAAGCCCAGGGACTATGAGAAAACAGTGAAATAAGGAGAAAATACACTTTTTCCCCTGAAACATTACATAGGCTAGTTAATAGGACGAGAAATCAAAGAACGAGCTCTTGAGAATTAAAGGATAAATAAAACCCAAGGCAGATGGGCACTGCTTTTGAATCCCAACAAACTTCCAAAGGGAAACACTCCCCCCAAAGTAAATGGGACCACAGAGTAAAATCACCCTCACCTTTCCCAGCTATCCGGGCCAGCTCTTGGGCCTCCAAAGTCCTACCGGGCTCCTTTGTTGGGAGTTCTTTAACTGAGGAAAGACAGACACATTAAGATCCTGCAATCCAGTTACACTCTACAGCTTTCAAGCATCTACCTGGTTCTTACCATCTGTGGGGGCCAGGGAGATTTTGGGAGATGCTGGGGAAATAGAGCCTGCTCCAGGATCCACAACTGATGATGTCACAGGGATGGAGGCAGAGGATACTACTGCTGAACCAATGGGAGGCTCAGGACAGGAAGCTGAGACTGGGGCGGGGGCAGCAGACTTGGGAGACCGTGGAGGGTACATCCGGCCCACTGGAATAAAAGGGAGAGCTACACAATGGTTACTGCTGACCAGGAAGTAGTCATAATAAGGAGAAAACCCAAAGAAAGTCAATAAGCTTTTTACACCCAGGGTCATAATATAAGCAGGAAAATGCTAGCATCAGGTAGCACAAAAGACTGGAGATGCTGCAGTTTCCACTGCTCTAAATGTTGCTAACAAAACTGAAGTCTCAACGAAACACCTGACAACCAGTGACAACTAACTACAGCTCTTGAACCAACATGTTAGAACTGAGGGAAACCAAGTTCTTCCCCAAAACTATTAAATTTAAGACTCCCTGACACCAAGCATCAACAAACTGCCTCCCAGCATTTTAACAATTCAACTCATTTATAAACCTCTACCCATGCCTGCAGCCATCCCCAATGAAGCTCTCTACCTGCAGGTGCTGGAGGAACAGAAGCTTCTCCAGAAGGCCTATTGTTGGGCGAAGATAACGTCTTGGCACCTCTCAAAGGGCGCTGTGCCTTGGGGGACATGCGGGAAGGGCCTGTTTTGTTTTGTGAAAAAAAAAATCACTGTTTATTACATGAACACAGACACATCACCCTGCCAACTACTTAAAATCCTATTAATCACCCTTCCTACCTTCTTCCCACTCCTTCTGCCACATCATAACCTACCTCCATTGATACCACGTGCCTCAGACCCAGGGCCAGGGCTGCTATTGTCAAGATGGTGAGGTCCACGAGGTGGCAAAGAGCTAAGACCAGGTCGCCCTCCTCGAGAGCCGCTGCATCGAACTCCTCCCCGGGGACCTTCCCGAACTCGTTGAGGCAGAGGGATATACTTCCCTTCCCTGCGGAAAGGCTCAAGTAAGGGAAGGAGGCCCCCAAATCAACCACTTTAACAACACAGAGCCTATGTCAATCCTTGCATCTGGCACGTTTTTGCTATCAGACCTCATCTGTCAGAGTCCAATGTAGCTATGAATTTACGACCTTATTTCTCAACCCAGACCAAGCCCAAGTGGCCAAGAGCTTCATAATTTTACTGTTCTTCACCTACCAGAAAGTCCAAGGAGACCCTTTTATAAGATGCTGCGTATATGAAATTTCATTTTTGTGACAGAAGAAAACAGCACACACAAATACATTATGAAGAGATACTTCATACAAAAAAAAATTATTTTTTCGAAATAGGGTTTCCTCTGTATAGCCCTGCTATGTTGGAACTAGCTCTGCAAACCAGGCTGGCCTTGAACTCAGAGATCTGCCTGTCTCTACCTCCCAAGTGCTGGGATTAATGGTGTGGACCTACTGACCTCCTGGCCCCCCAAAACGTTTAAACCTCTACAAGTCTCTTGCTGCAAATTACCAAATTTCTAGGCCTTCAGTCTAAACCTCAAAACTGGGAGCCACTAGGTATTAACCACACTCAGTAAGGTGGTGATGGTTAACAACAACTTAAAAAGTTCTTCCTAAGCCGGGTGGTGGTGGTACACGCCTTTAATCCCAGCACTCGGGAGGCAGAGGCAGGCGGATCTCTTGTGAGTTCGAGGCCAGCCTGGTCTACAAGAGCTAGTTCCAGGACAGGAACCAAAAAGCTACGGAGAAACCCTATCTCAAAATCCAAAAAACAAAACAAAACAAAACAAAACTTCTTTCTAGCTCCCCCAGGAATTACCTGGACACCAAGCTGGGGCTTTCCCGCCCAGACCCCTGCCGCTGAACTGCGCTGTGCTTCTCCTCCTCCGTTCGCCCATCATCATTTTCCATGGCAATCCGTAGGCGGTACTGGGGACTTGACTCAATCTCTCGAGCTAACTGGGCTGCACGCAGCTCTCGCTGCCGAAACTCTTCTGAGTTGTCCTTTTCCAAGGGAACCCTAAAAATACACCCAAAAAGATCAAGGTCCCAGTGTAAGAAAACAATGTAAAGACAACACTGCTTTAAGTCCATGACCAGTCAAGTCCATGGCATTCAATCTATTATTCTGTTTTTTTCCTTTTGTAAGGTTACAGGTTGAACCCAGTACCTTGCTCATGTCTGACAAGTGCTCCACCAGTGAATTTAACCTGCAGTTCAGTCAGCATTTTTCAATAGACAGCTACCAAGTGCTAGGCAAAGCACCACAATACATTCTCAATCTGATACTGGGGACTCAGATTAGGTTAGGCTGGTTGGCCAGCAAGCAAATCCTAGCCCCCAACCCGTTTTTGCTTTTCCAGAATAGGATTACAAGGTATAACTACCACACTTGCCCTTTTATATAGGGCTGCTGAGGACACAACTCAGGTCCTTACACTTGTACAAGTACTTTACAGCTGAGTTACATTCCCAGATCAGCAGTTACTTCTACCCACTAGAAAAGCAGTTCAGCAGGCAAACCATGAAGGACTACTTATAAACCGAAAAACACATTACCATACAAAATCTGTTCCATTCTGAGGCGTGCCTTACTGAACAGCAAGTCCTGCACTGCAACCACCCAAAACCACCACCCTCAAACTTCCAAAACACTTACGTGTAAGAAGATAAACTGCTATCATAGGTGGTCTTTACGCCATAGTTCTCTTCGTTAAATTTGAACATCTCATTGGGATCCCATCCATTGGACTAAGGACAGAACAGAAAGAATGTTTAAAACCCACGAACGGGAACTGACATGCCATTCCTTTCCAACTAGTTAAAAACTCCTGTACAAACTGAACAAACCAACATATGTTCATTAAGATTTTTTTCAATTTTACTTTATTTTTTGAGACAGTTACATTTTCTTTTTTTTTTTAAATATTTATTTATTTGTTATGTATAGAATATTCTGTCTGTGTGTATGTCTGCAGGCCAGAAGAGGGCACCAGACTTCATTACAGGTGGTTGTGAGCCACCATGTGGTTGCCGGGAATTGAACTCAGGACCTTTGGAAGAGCAGGCAATGCTCTTAACCACTGAGCCAGTTACAGTTTCCTAAATGTGCTATGTTCTACTTGTGTAAACGGAGTTAGATTGCCTGGAATTAGAGTTACAGATGTTTGTGAGCCACTATGGGAGTGTTGGAAATTTAAATTTAATCTCAGTCCTCTGGAAGAGCTTTTACCTAATGAGCCATCTCTCCAGCCCAACAAAATGTGGTTTTGAGAAAGGGTCTCACATGGCCCAATTGCAAGGAGACTAAGGACTGCCTTGAGCCCTTGGTCATCTTACTTCTACACTCTAAACTCTGGAATCAAAAATGCTATCATGGGCCGGGCGATGGTGGCGCACGCCTTTAATCCCAGCACTCGGGAAGCAGAGGCAGGCGGATCTCTGTGAGTTCGAGACCAGCCTGGTCTACAGAGCTAGTTCCAGGGTAGGCTCCAAAGCCACAGAGAAACCGTGTCTCGAAAAAGCAAAAAAAAAAAAAAAAAAAAAAAATGCTATCATGGTTCTCTAAGTTTTCTTTCTTTCTTTTTTTACTTTTTTTTTATTTTTATTTTTTTTTTATTTTTCGAGACAGGGTTTCTCCGTAGCTTTTGGTTCCTGTCCTGGAACTAGCTCTTGTAGACCAGGCTGGTCTTGAACTCACAGAGATCCGCCTGCCTCTGCCTCCCGAGTGCTGGGATTAAAGGTGTGCGCCACCACCGCCTGGCTCTTTCTTTTTTTAAATAAACAAAAAATTATTTACATTGTAGGTCTGTTCGGGTGGCACAGCAGGCACATGGAAGTCTAAGGACAATTTGCAGGAATCTGTTCCATTCCACCATTTGGCTTGGTGGCAAACACCTTTATCTGCTGAGCAACCTTGCCAGCCTAATTTACGAAACTTTAACTGAAGTAGTTGTTTTTGTGAAGAAATACGGATCTATACAGCAGTCATCTTACTTCCTTTCTTTAAAGACAAGCTTTTTGTTACATAGTCCAAGTTGGCCTGGAACTTACAGTTCTCCTTTCTCAATTTCCCAAGACTGGATTATGGGCATGAATCACCATGTCCAGATTATACCACCACCTCTGCTCCCAAGATAGGTTTTCTCTGTAGCTTTGGAACCTGTCCTGGAACTCGCTCTACAGACCAGACTGGCGTTGAACTCACAGAGAACCGCCTGCCTCTGTCTCTCAAGTGCTGGGATTAAAGGTGCATGCCACTACCCCCACCACCACCTCACTATACTTTTTACAACAAACAAAAGTTAATGCCATGTAGAAATGTTACCAGTTGTTAATGCAGAGGACGGGAAAACTGACCCTTTTTACCACCTTCCTTTCCAAGAACCAACAGTTGGTTCCAAGAACAGACTTTTAAAAAAAAAAGACCCCTACCACACACAGCAAAAAGAATGACCTTCTAACTACATCAACCCACATACACCACACTCAGCCTGTCCTGTTCTTGGGGAGACCGTACCATATCAGATTCCAGATCGTAGTCATCGCTGTTGCTGTCGCCGCCCTCCCAACGTTGTAGCACCTTCTCCTTGTGTTCTCCATTCACCTTGGAGTTCATGGCGATGGCTGAGTCGGTGAACTTGTCTGTGTGGCAGACAGGAGGAGCAAGAGTCAGGTCATACACCACTCTCCTCACCCTCACTCCCTGACTCCGTGTAGTTTCAGTTAACAAAACAAATTTTTAAGAAATATCAGATTTAGATTTTATGTTTGTTTGGCAACAGGTAGAAATATTAAAACACAAATCTATCTAAATGGGGTGGCAAATGCCAGTAATCCCAGCATTCAGGAGGCAGAGACAATTTGATGTCTAAGGGTTGAAAAGGGCTACATAGAAAGACCCTACTACCTCCCCTCAAACCACAGACCTAATATTAACTCAAAAGCAAAAGTTGGAAACTAAACAAAGGAAATAGGAGTAACTACACCAGTCATAATTCACTAGACTCGTAGACATCTACACGTATTTAAGAAGAACCATTCAATAACCTCTATCAAAAAAGATGCTAGAAGATATAATCATCATGTTCACCTGTGAACGAACTTCTACCCAGGGAGACACAACAGTCTAGCATAATACCTTTCGTAGCATAATTGAAGTCAACATTCCGGAAGTGAACAAGCAGAACATCACTTGGTTTAAACACCATGGTGTCCACAATGTCTTCCCGCCGAGGCCCACCTGCTGGTTCAGATGCTTTCCGGTGTACTGCGTCTACTGCCAGCTCAAACTACAAAAGCCCCGTTCCCAAAATTCCAGGATCAGTATCAAAGAGGGGGAAAAAAACAACTATTTCTTATCCTTTCTGATCTTTCAACACCAAATTCTCATGCTGCCCTGCCTTTCGCAACACCAGCCAGAGACCTTAGCAAAAGCCTCAAAACTGTCTGATGTCACCCAGCACACACCCTCAAGTTCATTCTCCTACTTAGTTTCAGAAATAAGCTAATATGCCAGGTGTCGGCCGCGCACGCCTTTAATCCCAGCACTCAGGAGGCAGAGGCAGGCGGATCTCTGTGAGTTCAAGGCCAGCCTGGTCTACAAGAGCTAGTTCCAGGACAGGCTCCAAAGCTACAAAGAAACCCTGTCTCGAAAACCAAAAAAGAAAGAAGCTAATTTAAGTACACTGACCTTTGAACTCAGGGTTTTGAAAATGCCCTCATAAGTGGTGCCATTTTTCACCTTTACATCACAAGTAGAACCCTAAGAGGGTGGAAGATTAAAGTCACTGGAGGAAACTGAAGCAGCACATTCCTCAAACACCCAATTTAAAGCTCTCACATACCACCACAGCAGTCAGGAAATGCAGCATCCTGGAGTTATTGTAAACACCTTCAAACACCTGTCACACAAGGGAAAATAAGAGGCAGCAGGTAAATACTTTCTTCCCAGACTGTACCATACATTTGAATTCTGCATGTCTCTACAGGATGAAAAAAAGGCACTCACAGGCGACTGTGGGGGTCCCTTTCCGGTGCTCTGTCCCCTGTAAGAGAAAAAAAAAAAAAACTAGTTTAACAGCGAACTTTAGAACAACGTACCATGTCAACTTGCTGATTTAGGCTACCAAGTAATTAACTAGAAGCTCTCACATCCAAGGCATTAACTGTCAAAACATTTTCTCCAAACGCCATTAAAAAAAAAAACCCAACAAAAATTCAACAAACAATGGCTGTCAAATGCTCTGAACAGCCAATGCAATAAATACAACCTTCTGACTCTCTCCAAGAGACCACCACTTCATGCTTCCAATAAACCACTGCTAGAATATCAAGCAAATCAACAACCCAATTCAGCAGCGAAGGTGAAAAGCTCGTGCATCCCAGATGCAGCACTACTTAGCTCAGTCACATACCTCCCAAAAGAAAAAAGCATTTTCAGCAGCCTTAGGCTACAAATCCCAGAAGGGTTATATTCTCTACACCCCACCTTTCTCCCTCAGTACTCATTCAGCCTGTTACCCACTCTGGAGGGATCCCCAATTGCCAGGTAACAGTGCTAACAGTGCTCCTCGACGGCTGATGTAACCGGCGGTTGAGGAGGGCGAGGAGGGGGCCGTTGGCGGGGCTGGGGGACCGCGCAGCCGCAAAAGCCATCCACCGGGATGCCTCGCCCGGTCTGCGCCTGCGCACTAAAGCCCACAGCCCTCTACCACCCCCTCCCGAACAGAAGCCACTGCGCCTGCGTCCAGCGCCACTCTATCGCATTGACACACCGAAAAAACCGAGGGCACCCACTCTCCACTCACCTACACCAGACACCCCTAAACCCTCATGCAATCCCTTCCTCCCCCGCCTATGCTTTACGTGTTACCGGGGCAAGCCAATGCCCGGGTCATAAGACAGCATCCGCGCGCACGTACGAGAAGGGCGCGCGCGCGCGCAGGATCTTCCCAGCCTGCAGTCTTCCCAGTCGCCGCTGCTTCCGCGCCCCCGCCCACCCCGTTCCCTTCTTACTGGCTACACCGGGAAGAGGAGGGAGCAATCCGCTCCCAAGTCCCTCCTTCCCCATTGGTCAAACTGTGGGCCGCGCGCCCCCCCTCTATTGGCTACAGCCGGGGACCCCTTCATGCAGCTTACTCCCCATTGGCTGAAGCCGGGGACCGCGAGATCCTTCGTGGTAATGGAGCTGGGGACCCCATCACCTCCTCAACCCCCCCAACACCCTTTTCCGACCGAGCTGGCGGGACGCGCCCCGCCTCCCCTCAGGGCCCAGACCCCAGGCGGTGACTAGGCCCCGAGAGCCGAGCACCGCCCCTAGGCTCCCGCAGACTGCCCGGGGAGGTTTCCCTCCGACCTGTTGGCGCCAGGGGCTACCCCCACCTTCGTGGGGTTCTGGGCCCAAAGTGGCCCTCAACGGCGCCGAGCCCGGGCGCGCCTTGGCCCAAACCGAGCCGCCGCCGCCGCCTCTGAGCGCTCCCCCGCCAGGAAGTCCCGTCCTCACCTGACGCTGCCAATAGCCACTGCCCCTGGCTGCGGTGGCGGCGGCGCCGCCAAGATGCTTTCGGCTCCGCGGCGAAGCCCGCTCCCGGCAGCGGCTGCAGGCCCCAGGCAGGGAGAGACGGCCGCAGGAGGCCCCGGGGGAGCCGTGGTGGCGGGCAGCGGCCCCGGGAGGCCGCCGTTAGGAGGGCTGGTCCCGCCGGGAGGCCGACGGGCCACGGCCTGTTGCGTGGGGGGCGGCTGCTGGGGCTGGGAGGTCTGTTGTGGCGGCTGAGGCTTCAACATGATGGCAGCGTCCGGAAGAGAAATTAGAGGGAAGGGAAAGAGGGCCAGGGGCTAGGCCCCCTCTGGAGAGCGCGGGAAGCGAGAGAGATCGCGAAGCAGGGGACCCGCCGTTGGCGGGCGGGGGGGAGCCCCGCGGTGTCAGGGGTGGATCGAGAAGACCGCGGCGCGAGGAAGCGCCGCGAGGCGGAAGGGGAGGGGGGGGATCTCGCGGGCCGGTGGAAAGCGAGAGGGCGCGAGCCGGCCTGGAGCGCGTGCGCGTACGCGTGCGCGCCGCTGGGGGAGGAGAGAGGGAGGAGCGCGGGCGGAAGCGCCTGCGGGGGAGGGGTGCGGAGGGGAACGGCGCCGGGCGGTTAGTTCCGGAAAGGAGCGGAGGCTCGGCTGTGTGGCTCTGGCCAGTCCAGCCCTTGCAGCGGAAAAGCAGCTGCGCAGGCGCTCAGAGCATCGCTAGGGCTCTGGGGCCCGAGCCACCTTAAAGGCTGGCGGCCGCCGTTGCTTCACAACGGGCGTGGGAGGGGCCAGAGCTGTGAAGGGGAAGCGTCGGCCGGCCCGCCCCTCCCACGCCGCCAGCGGAACGTCAGAAAGTCTCCGCGGTGGTGTGAGGTGTCACGTCGTAGCGTGAGGTTCTTCCGCCACTTGGGGCCCGGTGGGCGGAGCCTGAAGTGCCAAAAAATCCCTAGGACAGGAAAAAATCTAGTACAGGTGACTTTAGGCAGGTGAGATTTTTTTTTTTTTTTTACGTACGGATGCACATTAAAATGATTCGTGTGAGCGTATTTGCATCCTAACAAACGTGCCCAATTCTAAATTAAAATGCAGTAATTGTTCTTTCCGGAGTAGGGAACCCCTGAAGAGTTGCAATACAGGCCGTCTGAAGGCCAGACTTCCTAAGAGTGTATTAACAAAAGCCAGCCCAGGCTACATAGCCAGACTCCGTCAAAAACTGGCTGACTGCTTGTCTGTGAAAGAAGCCTTCATTCAAAATTAGGGCAGCTGGACTGGCTCACAGCTTTAATCCCAGCACTAGGAAGACAAGGTAGGAGGATCAGAAGTTTGAAGCCAGCCTGGATTATATAGTAAATTCCGGGTCACCTGGGAGACCCTCTTTCAAAAGGAAGAAAAGTTGGACATCGTTCCATACACTGGACACAAGGCGGACTGAACCACTTAAGAGCTCAAGCTAGTAGAAGATTTACATAATTTGACCACAGCTAAATGGGAACTTGTTAAAAAAAATAAAAAAATCCACCTGGGCAGTAGTTGCACAAGGCTTTAATCCCAGCGCTTGAGGCCAGCCTGGTCTACATAGTGAGTTCCAGGACAGCTAAGGCTATACAGACCTTGTCTCAACTTTAAAATAGGGCTGAAGAATGGCTCAGTGGTTAAGTGCTTACTGCTCTTCCGAGGTCCTGAGTTCTGTTCTCCGCTGGGCAGCGCACAGCTAAGTGCCTGCAGCTCCAGCTGTAGGGTATTCCGCACCGTCTTCTGGACTGTTGGCACACAAATGCATGTGTTGCATATTTAGTCAGACACATACACATAATTTTTTTTAAATTATGAACTTAAGCATAAGCCATAACACTGGTACATCTAAAGTTAGGGGAAAGAGAATAAGCCAGTTGACTATGTTAACACTTCAGTCTTGGGCTGGAGAGATGACTCAGTGGTTAAGGATGTGTATTGTCCAAAAGACCTGGGTTCAATTCCCAGCACCATATCAGGCAGCTCATAACTGCTGTTCCTCTGGCCTCCATTGGTATCCGCTCACACAGGCACACACACATTACAAATTAAATAAGAAAAAAAATGAAACTTCATTGATATAGGCAAGCAGTGTTTAGTCTGAAGAATATTCCTAGGGCAATCATTGTGGCACAATGTCCCTAGCACACAGGGTACTTGTACAGGAGGATGCCAAGTTTGAGGCCAGTTAATGTAATGCATACTGCCTCAAAAGAGAATGAAGAAGTAAACAGGATGCTCACTCTCCATTTGCCATGCCTGCTGTACCTCTTGAGCATTTGAGTTTGTAACCTGCTGCTTTTAAAATTAAAATGGCCTGGAAGCAGCCACCACATGCCCCAGTCAGTTAAGAGACAAAGGCTGGACCACTCGCCTCCACACGTCTGCTCTGCACTGCTGCCCCTCCTTGGGCCATACCCCGGCCTTTGGGAAGAGGGTTAGCTGAGTTTGTCCTCTCCAGATGGCGCTCTGCTTGTCTTAGGTGAGGCTTATGGCCTCATGATTTTTGCTTAATCGCTGGGATTATGGAATCTCCAGTAGAGATTACTAGTCAGACATAGTTGAATCAATGGCTGGTGGTACCTATTTTGGTTGTTAGTTGCACCCTGTAGCCTCGGCATGTCTTGAACTCTCCACTTTATTTTTACATCATGAGTATTTTCTCTCATGTGTATATGTGTACTGCATGCATGTATTGTGCCTTTAGAAGTCAGAAGAGGGTGTCATCCCCTGGGACTGTGGTTACAGGCTGTTGGGAGCCACCATGTGGGTGCTGTGAACAAACCTGTTTTCCTATGCAAGAGCATCAAGCACTCTCAACAGCTGAGCCATCTCTCTCTAGTTCCTCAATCCCCCTTCCTTTTTTTTTCTTTTCTTTCTCCACTCCCCTTTGAGACAGCATAGCCCAGGGCGCCCTGGAGCACTGAGATCTTCCTTCCCAAGTCTGTGCCTTTATCTCAGCACTCAGGAGGCAGATCTCTGAGAGTTCCAGGCCAATCAGGGATACATAGTGAGACTGTCTCAAAAACAAACAAAAAGCAAACTAAAAATTTCCCAACTTGGAGGAGGGAAAATTTTGTCAAATAATACACGTCTGCAAATACTAATAATACATGTCTGCAACATACAGTGGGTGCTCTCTGGATTGGGTGAGCCCCAAGATCTGTTGCTATCCTTCATCGGGTAGAGTGGAACTCTGCAACCTTATACTGTTCCTAAATATCTTTGCACCCAAACTGGCACCAAGAGCTGCCTCAGGCCTCCTGGAAAAATGTAGTACTGCCCTGGTTTGCCCTTTACCACCAGCCTGGTGGGTATAAGCTCCCTTCCTGAGCACATCCTCCACCTCCTTCTCAAAAGAAGGCTCTGGCTCTCTTGCATCTCTCCCAGCAGACACCCAAGCTCAGTCTCCATAGTTGCTGCCCATGGGACAGAGTGACGAAAACAGCAGTACTTGACTTCTTTCTTTTTTTTTTTTTTTTTTTTGATTTTTCGAGACAGGGTTTCTCCGTAGCTTTTGCATCTTTTTTTTTTTTTTTTTTTTTTTTGGTTTTTCAAGACAGGGTTTCTCTGTGGTTTTGGAGCCTGTCCTGGAACTAGCTCTTGTAGACCAGGCTGGTCTCGAACTCACAGAGATCCGCCTGCCTCTGCCTCCCGAGTGCTGGGATTAAAGGCGTGCGCCACCACCGCCCGGCCTCTCCGTAGCTTTTGGTTCCTGTCCTGGAACTAGCTCTGTAGACCAGGCTGGCCTCGAACTCACAGAGATCCGCCTGCCTCTGCCTCCCGAGTGCTGGGATTAAAGGCGTGCGCCACCACCGCCCGGCAGTACTTGACTTCTTAATTTGGCTTTTATTGTATGTCTCCCTCCCTCCTATCTGCTTGTAGAAGGATCTCACTGTGTGATCCAGGCCAGCCCTGAACTCTTGATCCTCCTGCCTCAGCTTCCAAAGTGCTGGGATTGCAGTCACATGCCACAGTTCTGGGCTCTGGTGGTTGACACCTGACCAAATCCCTCCCGATCTGTTTCCACTGAGACTCTTGAGGCTCTCGGGACTCACAGCAGCTTTCCCTGGTTCATCAAGTATTGACTGCATTCTACACTGGAACCTGGTGCTTCTCAGCTTCCTGCCTGCCTCATCCTCTCTCCCTCCACCCCTTCATCCACAGATTCCTGAAATGGGAATTGACCAGGGAACAGAGATCAAAGAAAGAGATCAAATGCAAGAGTTTAAAAACTGCAAGAAGGGGCCAGGTGGTGTTGGCGCACGCCTTTAATCCCAGCACTTGGGAGCCTGAGAAGGTGGATCTCTGAGTTCGAGGCCAACCTGGTCTACAGAGTGAGTTCAAAGACATTCAAGTCTATACAGAGAAACAGTCTCAGAAAAACAAAAAAAGAACTCATTTAAAAATTACAAAAAGGAATGTGAAGGGCTGGAGAGATGGCTCAGTGATTAAGAGCATTGCCTGCTCTTCCAAAGGTCCTGAGTTCAATTCCCAGCAACCACATGGTGGCTCGCAACCATCTGTAATGAGGTCTGGCGCCCTCTTCTGGCCTGCAGGCATACATGCAAACAGAACACTGTATAAATTATAATCAAGTAAATTTTTTTTTAAAGGAATGTGAAAGCAAAACAATTCTGGTTCTTAAAATTCTTTTAAATGATTTATTTTTGTTTTATGTTCATTGATGTTTTGCCTGCATTTATGTCTGTGTGATCCTCTGGGTCTGGAGTTACAGACAGTTGTGAGCTGCCATGTAGGTTCTGGGAATTGAAACCAGGTCCTCTGCAAGAGCAGCCAGTCTCTTAGCCGCTGAGCCATCTCTCCAGCCCTCATTCCAGGAACTTTTAATCTATAAGCCATACAGTATCTAGATGCAGACTCAATACTTGGTGATCTGGTTTTGCACACATCTCAGACTCTGGAGGCAGGAAGATTGAAGATTCAAAGCTAGCCTGGGCTACGGAGTGAGATCTTTCTTGTCTATGAATGGACAGGGCTAGGGAGGTAGTTGAGTGGTACGTAAGTTTGCGTTGCAAGAAAAGTAACTTCGCTTCAGACACTTCTAACCTTTCCGTCCATATCTTTTATAAAATAGTTTATTATATGTATGGGTGTTTAGCCTGCATGTATACTTGTGTGTCGTGTGTGTGCCTGGTGTTCCAGAAGAGGGCATCAGATCCCCTGAAACTGGAGTTACAGATGGCCTTGAGCAGCCACGGGGTGTGAGAGTCAAATGCGGGCTCTCTAGAAGAGCAGCCAGTGCTCCCAACCACTGAGTCCTCTCTCCAGCCTCAGACCACCCTCCCAGACTTAGTGTAAAGCCTTCCATAAAAACCCTGTAAAGTTTGAAGAGCCCACATTTAATCTATAAGAAAAAAAAAAACATTTTTTGGCCAGGCAGTGGTACACACCTTTAATCCCAGCACTTGGGAGGCAGAGGCAGGCAGGTCTCTGTGAATTCGAGGCCAGCCTGAGCTACAGAGTGAGTTCCTGGGCTACTCAGAAAAACCCTGTTTTGAACAATTTTTTTCTGCATATGCCTTAAATCCAAACATTTGGAAAGCTAAGGCAGGTGGATCTCTATGAGTTTCAGGCCAGCCTAGTCTAAGTGGCAAGATCTAGGCCAGTCAGGGTTACATTGTGCAACTTCACTCAAAATAGGGAAAAAGATTGTTTTCACTGCGCTTTGCTTTGCGTATTGTGTGTGGAGAATGGGCACACCGTGGCGTTTCAGTGGAGGTCAGAGGACAGTTTGCAGGAGTTGGTTCCTT